GATAAACATTGACTCAGCCATCAGAGTTGCAGAAAACTCATGATTCGCACGAACTCAGTTGACGTTGTACTGGTCCAATAGCTTTCCCGAACTTTTCAGCAATAGTTGCGCCCAGTTCCGAAGTGTCGGAAGCGATTTGACTGACAGCTAGATATTTCTGAATGGACAATCAGCCTAACACTAACGGTGTACTCAAGGAAGTAGAACGTACCTGCAACGTCGACTGAAGTTCAACAGGAGCGCGCCCTAGTGCCAGTTCGAACCAGGAGTTGGCGTTCCGCTGGAGCTGGAGAAGGATTTCATTCCTGACAGTATAACTGTCGGTTAAGTGGAGCTTGATGCCAGTACGGGTTGACTCGAACTCATAGACCGGGTTGAACTATGAACAGTTACAGCAAATGCAGTAACCGCAACTAGTAAGACGCACCTCGTCGGTGAACTCATTATCACAAGCACGTCGCAGTAATGTCAAAACCTCTAATATGGCAAACACCAATGGAGGGTCACACATAAGAGACGGGAAGGACGAGATAAGTCGGTTCAAAAACTTTGAGGCTACGTCTCTTGCTTGGGTCATACGGTGGGTGCTGCAGACCAGTAACACCTGGAGTTCTGAAGACAGTCTTTCGGGCAAAGCTTGTTGAGCTGCTTCAGTGTTGAGATCGATGATACAGCCCCGAATGACCTAGTGGCGTGATCAGCAAACACGGAACAAGGACCATCGCAAGTACACTTACCTTCTCAGCAATGGATTCCATACAGGCACTAAGGGCGGCGTGTCGATTCAAACTCTCGTTGACGAAGTAGGAGACGAGAGAGGACGTAAGACCGGCCGCCGAACGCATACTTTCGGTGTCATGCATTGTGAGCAAGAAGATTACTTGTCCCGATGATAGTCCCCGAATGTCGCTACTGCGCAGCGAGATGTGTTTGATCAAAGATGCACGATGCTTGGATATCACCTACGTCGCATGGTAAGCTCAGTAAACTGAAAACAATAGCGAACATGCCACTCACCGTATGAGCGTATTCCTGTCGAATAACAGAGTTATATTCCACATCACTAGCCACGGAATCGTGGGACTCCTCCAACACCATCGCCGGAGTTTTCGTCGCGATGCGAGCCAGAGCGGGCCTCTGCCATTCCATAGCCGTAGCCTCTTTCTCGTCAACCGTGAAGTGAAAGAGAACGCACAAGAACCACATCTTGCGGAAGAGCGCTACGAGTGTGGATGAATCATTGATATGCGGGTTAAAGTCAACATGCGCTAGCAGAGCGTCGATCGGAAGAAGCAGAGACGCCAGTTGTTCGATCATATCATCCGTCTGAGTTATCCTATCAGCCAAATTGCAACTGAGCCAGAAAAAGTGAAGAGCTAACCTTGACATGACGGTTCTCAGTCTTCACGTTCTGAATTGCAACTCCCTTGTCTGCAAAGAGGGTGAGGAGCTCGACGAGATAGATCTCGTATAACTCTGGACGTCGATGCAGCTCTTGGGCTAAACGCGTTTGAGCGGCGAGTACCTATCCAAAGTCAATAACTAACCATATCTTAGGTGCAGATGACATTACCATATTGTTCGAAAATCGTGGATCGTCTGGATTCGCCGAGCGATTGATGGCGGAAAACACTCGAATGATGTCGATGAAGGAACTTTCTGGTGCGGAGAGGGCAAGGTCGACCAGGTTGTAGGCAATTGCAGCTTCAACTGTCGGTTCAGCGGATCGTAGGCGTTGTAGTAGCATCGAAACAGTCAAACGCGTAACCTAAAAGTGAAAACGTAAGGTTCAATGTAAAAGCGACAATGAAAGAGCCAACCTCCTCCTGGCGGAATTCTAAAGCAAGTCTTGTCACAACTGAGATAGTGCTGATACCAATAAGTCTTTTCTCGTCGTCCGAGAGACCCCGTAACCCCGTCTCAACATTAGCCACAGAATGATGATCGAGGCCATTATACAGAGGGTTATTCAAAATCTGGGAGTTGTTTGAACTTTCATAGATCTCTTTGCTAGTCGCGGCGATGTAATTTAGTAGTGAATACATATTGGACATGATAACGTCGTCCCCGGGTGCGAGCTATAAGTGCCAGGTATAAGGGGGTCAAATGCGTCGGAAGAGACGTACTTACCTTGATGCACAATGCTAGACATTTCGCAGCGGCAGCCAAAGGGGGAGGTGCTCGAGATTCGGATGCGAATTCAAATTCGAAGATAGGGATCGGGGATGTGACGAAACGTCGAAGGTGAGCTGCCAATTGAGCAGCTTTAGCAGGGAAGCTGAGAAATGATTAACCTACTCAGCCCGATATCAAGACAGGACAGGTTAGGCTCACTTTCGCACAACGATCGTCGTAGCCTTCAGGGCAGCTTCTTGGACGAGATTATCCGAGATCGGAGCTTCGTCACTGAGCAGGAGGAGAAGTCGAGCAAACAGCTTGTCGTCGAGTTTACGCCGGACAACTGAGCAAACAGACGCCAATTTCTAGACCTAAAGGTAAGCAAGGACACTCAGCGCGCGTATGAAACATGCGAACCAAGCTTTCTGACATTGTTTCCCAAGCATACGTGTCAAGAGAAGGCTCTTGATCCATTTCTTCAATCTGTATAAGGAGGTCGGTAAAGCACTGCATAGCATAATCGACAGTCTTGTCCAAAGCAATGAGAGACTTTTTGTTAGATATGTCGAGTTCAACGGCAGCTTGTCGCATCAGTGAGTTCCAAGCCTTATTAGCGGCGGCGGCTTCGGTAACTCCTGCAGAAGTCGTGGCTGGGGGTGGAGCCAAGGCCTGTGCGAGGACCGTCCACATCGTTTCGATGACGCAGCAAACAATAAAGTACCCGCTGAGTGGACGTCCGCGTGAGACGTACCGAGCTAGGAAAGTCTCGATGAAGTGAAGTATTTCGACATCGAGGTCTTCGGATTGGATAAGATCGTTTATGAGGTGGTTGAGACGATCTACCATTTCAGGCGAACAGATGTAGTTCAGCTGGCCCGAGAGCATTTCCCATTGGGGAAGAGTCCAAGTAAACGATGTAGAGCTAATGGCTCTATACATTCCGTGGAGAGCCGGCGTAAGTTGTGTCAGAACATCCAACGCTACCCGTTTATTAGTCTGGGGTAAAAATAGTACTAAAAACTACAACTTACGATCTCCCGACCTTATATTTTCGACCGTGTCTGAAATGAAAGCGCAGATTGCCTCCGTTGCTGCAGCACTATACCGCGGGTGCGAAGTCGCCATCCGAAGAAGAGCAGAGATAGTAGAGAATACGAGCTGGTCAGGAAGGGCCCATTCTACAGCAACAATGAGTGAAAATGAGCAGAAAATACGAGATTAACAGCTACCTTCCCAAGAAAGACATTTGTCGAAATCGATGTGCGGTACGTCTCGCAAAACGTCAATGAGGACAGGCATAAGGGTGTCAATATTCTCATTTATATAGCTATCAGGGAAGTTGACTACGAGTTCTCCGAATGCGATATTGCAGTGAACGCGAGACACAGACTAGATTGAAGAATTTTAGTTACACGTTACAGGTGAACGAAATGACCAGGCACCATGAACACTCTCGGTGTAGAGTCTTGTTTCTCTCCATTCACTTCCGGTTTCTCTCCGACATCTGCTCTCGTCTGGACTTTTGAGGCAATTAGACTATTTGCATGTTGTATGTCTTCGGGAGTTTCTCCAACGCCAGATGCAATGTCAGACAGAATTCGTTGGTGAATATTGAGCTCCAGACTGGTTAGATAGTAAGCAATTGGTCTGTAAAGTCATCAGAAAACTTACAAGTCCATATCGACAGCAAAAAGCTGAATTCGAAGACGTCACAGGGAACAAGCGCCCACCACTGTTTGTTTCGAACAAACAACGCGTCGCGCTTTGCTTTCATTGTTCCATGGCTAAATCACCCAGTAAGTAAGCGATATATGCGCTGCTTCCAGCTGAATACCTTTCTCTAGAAAAACGAACAACCAAGAAACCAGCTCGAGCGTCGGCTTCGGTCTCCTTCGCCGACGACGATGAATTTCGAGACGAAGACTCTGATGTTATCATGGAGGACGAAGGGAGTGAAAGCGACAGGTAAGTTTTTAATCTCTGTTGTGAACTGTCCTGACATCATCGCAGCACGGATCTGTCTAAATTTATGGAAGAGATCCAGAGTACGCCGTCTATCATTATCGTCAACTACTGGTCCGTTACTAATTTCGTAGAGCGACAAGCGAAGAAATCGTCGAAGCTTTCCGTCGAGTTTGAAAACCAAAAAAAGACGTTGTATGCCTCCGCTCGTGCACAAGCCAGAGAAATGAGTCGCGAAGGAGTAGCTTATCTGTTCGCGATCGTCCCTCCTCTCCCTTCTCCCCCTGACTCATTTATTTCCAGTGAAAACCTGAAGCCCACACTTTTGGACATGAGAAAAGACGAAACCACATTCGAAAAATACTTCACTCAAATCGCTCCATCGTTCAAGAATCAAGAAGTTTGTCCTTATATGCGTCCTATGTTCTCGCACTCGATACTTACTTTGGGGGGTCCAGGATGTAATTGACTCACTTTACCAAGTCTATCCGAGTGGCGAAGATCTGTTCCTACGTCGGGCGCAAACTATAGACAATAGTAAAGGAATGCGTGAGTGGATTCATTCAAACCTCTTAAAATTCATTCTGCCAATGCCGATCCAGTCAGGAAAAACCCAGCCAAACGAGAGAAAGCATTGCGTCAGTTTCTGGAGAATGCTCGTCAGGAGGTAGATCGTAGCCGCCAAAATGAGATCGTGAGCCCCTCCGCCTGTTTCACTATTCGATGTCCTGACGATTGAGGATGTCGATGATGTAGGAAGCGACAGACGCCTCTAGATACATCAAGCACCTGAAGGGCCTTCTTCTTAGTTGATTGACCTTATTGCAACGTAATTAGGTGTTTTTGTGTATGAAATTATGTATATTATTGAACGCTCTTGCTGGACCACTTCCATATCCCTTCTCAACACAATGTGGTAAGGCGCTATAGCCAAGTGGTTACGGCGACAGATTCGAATGCGTGGTCAAAAAATAATCGATCTGTTCCTCTTTGAGGGCGCAGGTTCAAATCCTGCTGGCGTCGTGGGGTTCAGAGAAATATATATAAATTTAATGTTTTGATTCTGGACTCCACGAGGACGGTGGTGGGCATCACTTCATCGTTATGCTTTGCATCCTTCCCCCGCATCCACTTTTAAATAATTCCCTAACACTAGTTGGGGGGACTAGCATTGATATTTATACTGGAGCCTCTGTATCTTACTACCTCTCTGGGTGGGCTTGCAGTCTACCTTCCCTCTGTGGGTCGAGCTCGCTGCTTCTCCCCAGAGTCCGGCTGGACCCCGCTGTAAAGCGGAGCCTAGTATAATAACTAGTTCCGGCATTCCATTCATGTTCTAATTTCAATCATTTTCAAGGCGCTATAGCCAAGTGGTTACGGCGACAGATTAGAATTCCAATGTTCCTTAGATCTGTTCCTCTTTGAGGGCGCAGGTTCGAATCCTGCTGGCGTCGTGCCAAGTCCATTTCAGTGGGACACCTTTTTAGTTTTGTATAGGAACGTGCCCACATACTCCTCCGTTGGTGATTTGGGCGATTTAAGGATATACGTGAGAATACATGTATTTGAAGAGACTATTCATATTACCGGGGACAAAAGCCAATAGCAATCAGTAGGAAAACACCACGATAGCTACGATCGATGCTCTGTAGCTGCCCCTCGCTGTTCCACGCCCATCGCATCCTCCAAAACCTCCTGTGCCTCCACTGCAACCATATCCTGCAATTCCTCGGGTTCATCTTCCTCCTCTTCTGCTCCCTCATCAACTTCCTCCTCCTCCATCACCGCATCATCCGCTTCCACATCCACTTCCATTTCATCCCCTTCCGCAGCGTCTGCAGTACGGTTAAACGCTGCCGAAATGGATTCAGAAGCATCCGGACTTTGTTGCGTAGATAATCCTGCACTTCCTGCAACGGGTTGTGCCAGTGGTGCAGAGGTAAATGGCGGAGGGAAAGTCTCCGTTCCAGCGGTAGCGCTAGCACCACCAACACTAGCACTAGGACCAGCGCCGTTTGCCTTTTCCTTTCCTTGCCTTTGGCAGTAGAGTTGGATGGCGGTTCGGATACAACCGACGGGCGTTGGTTGGAGCTGGCAGTACTCGCTCGACGGGCACCGCTCTTGTCAGGCTTGACCTGATCGCGATAGACTACGAGGAACATTCATCAATAAAAGCAGAAAAAAGCAGCTTCCAAGCGGCTCACCTTGGAGTTCCGCCGTTAATGGATCCACCAAGTCACCCAGTTCAATCAACTCTAGAGCCTTGAGGACGTCCGACGCTGAGATGCTTTTGTGCTGTTTAGATTGAGCTACATCGTGTGCGCTGGAAACAGTAGCCGTTAACGAGGCAGAAACGCGTAAGACGGGCAAAGAACAACTTGCGTCGCAGCTAAATGCCATCGAGAAATCAAAAACCAAAGACGCGTCGCGAACATGAATCAACGACTCACCTAGATAATTGATAAACACCGTAGAGCCTTTCACCAGAGATAATATAGCTTCTTTTTGCAGTTTTGTGTTATCTGGGACCTGTGAAGCAGAAGTGTGGGTCGTAATTCACGTATGAAATGGTGAATGAGCGTACAGCAGACTTTGCGATTTTGGTTACTAGACTTTTCGGGAGCTCAAAGTTGTCGATGCCTTCGGAGACGAGATCTTGTTGCTGCTGGGCTGAAAGAGGGCCAGGGTTTTCTTTGCGAGGCATAGTTGATGAAGGAAGATGATGGTGGCTTGAGAGAAAGTTACGACGCGCTGGGAATTCCGGAGTAAAGGTCTATCGGAGGCCTATTAGCACTTCAACTAGCGATACAGTAGATTCTCATTATTTGTACAACATTTCTAGTTCTAATAGCCAAAACTATCCAAACGAAGGCACTTCATCATCTAGATCTTCCTCCGCGTCTTCCATCTCATCGTCCTCGTCGCCTTCCTCATCCAAATCCTCCATACTCGCATCCAGGTCTCGTCCGGATTCATCGTTTTCGCCGTCGCCGTCGTCCTCCATTACCGAAGGCGGGCCATTGGTTCCCGAGCCAGCAGAAGCAGATTCCTCAGACTCATCTTCGTCGGCCTGAACAAAAGCATAAGAGGATTGAGTAAATGTAAAACCAAGCCACGCACATCGTTCTTTTCTTCCAACGCAGTCAGCGTTTTGCCAATTGGTACTAAAAATGAATGTCCTCGTTGTTGGATCACCAAACTCTGTTCAAGGCAAAAAATGAAGAAAGTATCGGCAGCAGAGCCAAAAACCACACGTACCAGGTCATCCAGCTCACTTTCTTCTTCACTCAACTCGTCCATTTCGCGTTGCAGGTCGCGCCGATGATTAAGATGGCCATAAACGCCTGGAGAATAATGGTCCGGGATGTAAGATCGGATATTAATAGGAGGTCCGGGTGGCAAAGGCAACGGATGTGTCTTAGGCGGTTCTGGAAGGAGACGTGGGAATAGTGGGGGCCTTGGTATCAGTGTTGGTGTATATACGGACATGGACAGAGCTAAGTTCGTCCAGTGCAGGCGCTTGTTCCGGGCGCTCGATGAAACATCATACACGGTTCAAAGGACGTTGCCAAATACGACCGCAAACTCAAAAAATACCAAATACTATCTCGGCGAAAACATCGAACGCAAAACAGACGGAGATGTCGAGACTCGAGTGTCACTGCCAAACTTTGCCGAAACGGTCAACTGGCTTCTCGAACGACAGGACACCAAACAATGAGATTGTACGTATCTACTCCGATTTCAACCTCGTAACTATAGTATTTGACCCACCCCCCGCACCCTGCATCAGAGTTGAGCCTGCATCACAAAGCCTATGAAAACATGCCAGCTATTGAAAGGATGTGTACTAGATTGCACCTCATTGATACTCATTGATATTCAGTCCGCGTACTTAGAAAGAATTCGGTAGCACTATTGACAGGATTAGAAAAATTAACATCTAACGCAGGAATTGAACACTATACCTATTCGAGCAAAGAATGGTAATCTTAATACCATCCTTCTTAAAACCATTCAGCGCATCGTACGCTTTCGGAACCTTCATTCGTCCACGGAAAACGATTGTCAAAGATTGAAGACAATCAACACCGAATTGTGAACCATTTGTCAACCGAGACTTAACTAAGTCTGACGCTTCTGTGGCGGTGAACAAGCATTCGCCAACGCTCAGAGTGAGGCAGCGTAATCTTGGCACAAGAGGGGTAGCGGGTTGTAGCAGAGAACCAGTACCAACATGTAGGCTCTGGAGAAATCGCCCGTTATAGGAATCAACCTTTGTCTCTTTTCCCCATCTATGACTATGGGATCCATGACAGCGAGATCCAGTAGAGTTGGGATATGATATAGGAGATAGATGAGTCTGGAGTCCGAGAAAGCTACACCCTTGATGCAAAGAGTGGTTAATGGGAAGGATGAGCGCTTTACGAACCCCATAAAAGGATTGAAGCTGCGCCACAAATATTGCCTTTCGACAAATTCCTGTCCGCAATCAAGACAAAGAGTCTTTAATGAAGGGAGGGTGAGGAATGGAAATATTGAATCCGAAGTACCATTCTCATGATGGCGAACATTCAAGGCTTCTATGCTGGGACAAGCAGTTGGGGGGACAGTCTTGAAGTCATCATAAAGAATACTAAGCCAGATCAAATCATAACCATCCCCAGATTCATCAAAATCATCAACATCCAGTGACCGTAGAGCGGTGAGTTCGCTGAGTGTCCCATTACAACTATGGACCATATTTGTTCCAGTCGAACGTGATTCAATTGAGCTAGTGGAGATAATGAGGGCATCTCCTGCATAACGGTGCTATAGGATGGCCACGAGTTTATTGTTAACCGCTGGAGCCTAGGTGCCCTAACATTTAAAAAACTCAAATTTTCGTCTAGTGGAAGGTGAAGGTCGACAAGCGTAGGGAAAGCATCAACCTGTAGCGGGAGTTAATGGACCTGAAGAGATCAGACACGAACCAAGTCGCGGACTGAAAAGTGAAGCTACTCCAGCGCTGGTATTCACTGCACAGGATAGCCAAGGGTTCGTACGGACGCCAGATATCCGGGGTGGGCGAGTCATCGAAACAAATAGATAAAACGAGTGGCTGTTGCCGTGATCGACTGATGAATGTTTTTAAGACTGTTGAAAGTCGATATTCCAGTCGCCGATCTTCTGTGAAACTATAATCACCCCAGTGCTCCAGCGATATCCTCGACCAGATCCTAGATGACGACAAGCCTACCCTCCGCCACTGTAGACAGACGCTGCTAACAGTCAATGCAGGTAGGTCTCCTAGAGAAGACATAATGTAGTCATCCGCAATGCTGAATAGGTTGGTGTTACAGCAATCGTTAAAGATTAGCTCCAGAATTTCATCAGGAATTGTTTCGACTATGTGGGTCATGGATGAGCATGAGTATTAAGACGAACTAACGAGGTTGGATGAGACGCGGTTAGTACACTAGAGAACTGGTTACTCACTTTGATAGGTGTTATAGTAGACTGGAGTTTGGGGACAAGATATTACAGAGAGGGAACCCTCAAAAAGAAAAACAGAAAACAGTAACACATTGTGTTAGGCGCCGCGGCATCATGCCGACACGGGACATACTCTTATACGATATATTCGGAGTATCTGACAATCCCTTCCAGCGGTAGGCCCCTCAGTCCTCAGTTACAGAATTCTTTGGAGACACTCAGGAGACACTTGTACGCGAATTCAAGCAATTCGAGCTTTAGATCTGCATGGACATCGAACTCCAATCATTCCACAACTTGCTGGTCTTGGGTCGGATTTGCAACCTGTCAGCCTCAATGTTCTTGACCAAGTGCCTTAAGTATGACACAGCGCAACAAGTACATATTCTGTGAGCATCTTCAAGTCCTTTGCGTTTGAACTACTTGTAAACAGATTCCACACGCGACGTGGGGTCGTCATGTGAGCGCGACTTGCGCCACACTGTAGAATCTGTTCTGAGATGACGGAGGGATTGTGGAAAAAGGCAACGTGCCTTGTTGGATTATGC